AAAAAAAACGTCAATTTATTTTTTACCATAATAATATGGACTTTGATATAAATAGACGTAATTATAAGGACTATAACGAAGTTCGCATCGTCGACCACGATAATTTTGTGGACATGAACAGTATGCTTGACCGTATACGTTCGTACATTGACCGCCATTATAACACCTAAATTATATTTTAAAATGATTTTTATGTTCTTTCTAAGATCAATTTCATATATTACCAGTTATAAGCACATGTTGGACTACAGTAAGTCGCACAATTTGCACCATATGTATTTGGTGGACAGATACAAACAGCTTGCTGTGTAAGTTGATTAAACACACACGTTCCGCCGTTTGCACATGGGTTATTATAGAGACATGTGTTAGTTGGTACTGTTGTTGGACAATATGGATTAGCAATAACACCATTTGGACAAATACATACATATTGTGCTGGATTTTGATTTGTTAATATGCACGTAGCACCAGCTGGACATGTAGTTAAACCACATTGAGCTCCAATAATAGGTGGAGCTAATGTTGGTACTAAAGTACCAGGACAACTAGCTGCACTTGGTGCCAATGAAAAATCTGGACAGAGACATGAAAATACGGTACCGGTTTGAACACATGTATGTGGAGCACAAGTTGCTACTGCTAATGCAGTACATGCACCACCTTGCGCATATGTAATACTCAATTGTATAAATAATATACTTGCAATAAAAAGCATACCGCTTAAATTCCACATACTCATAGATCTATCTTTTACTTAAGTTTTCTCTTAAATGAAGTGAAAATTTGAAGGCCGTTTTTATAGTCGTCAAAGACCTATTATTCACTAAATAAATATTTTGCATAAAATCTTAATTTCATATTTAGTATAATCATCTAAGTCTTTATCATATTTGTAGAATTCGACATTTTTTTTTCTAAAGATATTTCAAATAATGTCATCTGATATGATTATCTTTGTCTTAAATGAGAACAAAAAAACAGCATTAAATCTGGTTATTATAATCCACATTTGTTAAATGAAGAGTAAATTGAGTTGATATGAAATTTGATCATTCGCATTATTATAGTAAATTTCAATGTCCTATTTAGGTATATGACGTACATTTATTCTACTGAGAAAACTAAATAAATCGAAAATTTTTTTCTAGGTAATTAAAACGGAATAATTATATAGATTTTTCAAGTAGAAATCATGTTTACAGGTGCATTTTTCGTTATTTGCCTTTTGTCAAAAGAAAAATATATACTTTATGTTGACATATTATTATGATGAATAAATGAAAAACAAGTGAAATGTCAGGTCTGAACTATTATTTATCATGATTTTTTGCGATTATTTTTCTCATGTCTGGGGGTGGGGATGGCGTGTGTAATCGTTATCATATTTAATGATGTATATATATTTTTTTTCATGGTTATCGACAGATATTTTTCGTAAACAAAAAATACCTTCATTTAAGCACCTTTAAGCAAAAAAAGTGCGTAGGTGCTTATTTGTTTATTCATTTTAAATAACATAAGCCCTTGATACGCTCATGATTATATCTACATACTTAATGTGTAATAAAACTATATGAGAATAAAAAAAATTAAAGATAAATATTTCAGAACAATACATTTGTTATTTTTATAGACAATTAATTGAGTTTTTATTAATCAAAATTAAACTGTACAACGATTTTCTATGTTATAAGATATCAGTTTAATAATCGTCATATCTCTCAATAGATTTTATATATTCATGTCATCACGTCTTTAAAGATAATATATGATATATATATATATATGTATATACAGACAGGCAACAATCTCAAGGTTTTTATTACCTTCTATACTGAATAATAAATCAACGAGAATAATTATATCTTATCGTGGGTTGTTGAAAATATTGCACTCATCCAGACTATCATTTCAAGGAGAAGAAGGTGTTAAGAATAAATAAATACAATGTATAATATTTGCTTGAATGCACATTTCTTGATACATGAAATAATGTTTTATATTCTATCGCTATTTTATCTCTTTTTATTTATTAACTTAAACTAAACAAAATCCTTACACTTATCTGTCTATCTATTATCGTATTTACCAATCTTTCTGTCTCTTCTCCTAAGACGACACATCGAATGTCATACATACATGAAATAAGATCATAATAATAACTCGAATAGTCTACGTACAAAAAAAAAAACAAAAGAAGAATAGTAGGTAGAGCACAAGAACAAAAAGAAAATGACAAGATACAAACAAAGAAAAAAAGAGAAGAAATCACACAAACATGAAGAAGTAGAAGACGAAGAAGAAGAAATAATCATAATAGAAAAGAACACCAAACATGGCCTTTGGTCATCATTGCGCACATGAAAAGAAGAAAAGACGAAGACATGTCTGTTAAATATCACTCATCTCTTCGAATTTCATCTCAGACACTCTTCGAAAATACAAGGATTTAAGACCGGTATAGATGAAAACAAAAGGAGAAGAGTCTATGTTCACGAATTAAACAAATATGTTATGCTTCGCAAAATCAAGGAGAGATTACATACATGTACTTATTATATACATATGAAAAATATTCGTTGCCTTAACTTGCTCGATGGCTACATTTAATGATCCGAGCAAAGCAAAAAAAGAAAAGAACACGAAATGGCACGCGAACAGAGAGGCAAATATATATATATATTTACAATGGAACAACAACAAAAAGAAAAAAAAAAAAAGAAAAAACTTAATAAACAAGAGACAGACTATAACAAAATTTTAGTCGGAGCGTACACAAGAGAGAGTAAAAGAAACTAGAGTAGAAATAATTATATAAGTTCGAGACTTAACGGCTCAAATCTAATATTTGTTTATCTCATTTCCAAGTATACTATCCAGCCTCTTCTATGCATCACGCATCACGACTGACCCTGATGTTAACAAGAGAAGAAGAAAAAAATCTGTACAACAAAAAAAGAAAAAAAAAAGAGAAAAACAAAAGAATACTGAAGGGATAGAACAAAGAAAAAATCCATTTATGTGTCAGATCGAAATCACTGGGTACGAAAAACGACCTATTCTATTCGCGTTCTTCTGATCTAAGGACTCATACGGGAAGAGAAGAAAAAGGCAAAAAAAAATGTATAAAAGTAAAACAAATAAACAAAAGAAAAAAAACCAAGGACACTTCTTTTTTTTGCTTTTACATTTTACCAAACCCGTTCCGGATGTATTATATAAGGTTCATTAACATTATTTGCCGTTCGGCGACAATCAACTGATGAACTTCGAAAAGATGCATGATGCATAACAAATGGCGAGGGATGTGGAGGTGGAGGCGGAGGAGCATATATAAAACCTGGTGGTAATGGTGGATACCAACCCGTTGGATAAAAAACAGGTTGAGCTTGTTGATTATAAAATAGAAGATCAGTATCCGTATGAGCTCGATGATGTATTGGTAAGTTAACAGGTGGCGATGGAAGCACGAGAACAGGTAATGGTGGCGCTGGAATTAATGGTGATGGTGTAAGTGCTATTGGTTGAGGTGGAGGTACCTGAGGTGGTGGTGGAGGAGGAGGAGGAGCCAAATTGTCTGATGAAGGTAAATAAAAATGTGGTATTGGCCGATGTATAACCGTTTTAAAACTACAACCATACATATCTTCTTCACCACCAATATCCTCATCACCTGATGTCATTGTAGCACTAAATGAAACAAAAAATTTATGTTTTAAAATTTTTCTTATCATCAAATAATTTTATTTACCTTGATAATCTCCGTCTTAAATTATCAAAATTTTGATTATCATCATCATCATCATCATTATTGTTGTTGTTATTATTAGTTTGATCTTTATTTTGTTGTTTCTTCTTCTTTCGTATACGTCGTTTTACACTACTGTTTGCTGTATCGACTTTATTAAAATCTTCATCGTCAGCATCATCATCATGTGATGGTGTTCGACTTTTCTGATTTAAACTATCCGTACTATGCGAACGATAATGTATCATACGTTTACGTTCTTCAATCATTTTTGTTATACTCAATGCATCTTTCGTAAACGATTCTAAACGACGAATACTATCATGACTAAAAATAGAACAAAAAAAACATTGTTTAATATAGGAAAACAAACAAAATAAAGATTTATTTCTTACCGTTGTAAAAGCTCTGGTGTATTTAATGTACGTTCATCATCAAGCTCTTGACTATTTTTAACCCATGGATGCTGAAGAACTTCAGCAGCTGTTAAACGCAATGATGCATCACGTACTAATAAATGTTTTATTAAATCTTTTGCACCAGTAGATATATATTTCCAATCTTTATCAGGAAAATCAAATTCTCCATCTTGTATTCGTTCAAATAATAAGCTTTGACATTGCTCACATTCTTCACCTTTTGTCCATCCACATGTATGACCACATGAACCATAAAATGGTGGATAACCAGATAACATTATGTATATAATAACACCAAGTGACCATAAATCACAACGTTTATCATACATTAGTAATGAACCCTCAAGACTTGTCCAGGCATCTACAACTTCCGGTGCCATAAATTCAACTGATCCAACAGGTGTTGATAATTCTGGTGTTGAAATTGGCGTTGTTTTATTACTATTAAGACGAATAGCTGAACCCAAATCAAAATCACATAGTTTTATCGGTATTAATGAATCGGCACGTTCGACTAAGATATTTTCCGGTTTTAAGTCTCTAAAAAAAAGAAATAAGATTGATAAGTTAAGTGAGATATATTTCTTATATACAAATACAAACCTATGTGACATGCCCTTGGAATGAAGAAAATTAAGACCATTAGCAATATCACGTACAATTAAACTAGTTTCACGTTCGGTTAAACGACCACGTTTCATTATGTGATTGAGTAATGGTCCTAAACCAGATAGATATATATATACACATAGACATGATAAGAATAATTATTTATTTAAATAAACTTACCGCCTTCCATTTTTTGAAAGACAAGATAAAAATATTCATCATCTTCGAGAAAGTCAATAATGCTTAGAATATTTTCACAATCACGACAATGATAATATATATCAATTTCTTTGAAAACACGCGTTCGATTCGGATGACGCGCTTTACTGATTATCTAAATTAAAAAAAGAAAAAGGAATTCTTTTTTTCTTTATCTAGAATGTTCTTTGCTTCTTTCTTCTTTTTCTCTCTTTCTTTATATGTCACGAATAGTTTATGTCCGGGGTTACTCGTTCTGTTTGTGCGCAATACTTCTTTTTTTTTTGACCGTTCTGCAAATAGCACGTATTCAAACCAAAGAACATATTCTCATGTATATACTAAATGATAGCACTCCAGTCCAATCAACATACCTTAACAGCATATTCTTGTTTTGTCACTCGATCGCGACACGTCTTAACAACTCTAATTAAAAGAAAAAGAAGGAATTTTAGTATAACCAAAATTCTTATTTCATTTTTGTTTATTAATATATACCCGTGTGCACCGGTTCCTAGTAATTCTTCAGTTAATTTATATTTATCATTGAATGATATATCAGAATATGAATTAGCTGTTCGACGTTTTTTCTTTTTTTGTTGTCTTTTTTGCACGCTATTTGTCGGCGAACTTTCCGATTTACATCCGGCATTTGTTGTATCACGTAAGACAAGTTCTTTAATTAAAACAAAAAAAAATAATTAATTTTTTCTATTACTCTACATATATTTACCTGTTGGCTTCGATACATTTAATGATGATGGTCGTTTTATTTGTGGTCGTCCTACATTTTCTGTTATTGCTGTTGTTGTTGTTGTTGTCGTCAACATAGTTGACGTCGACGGACTACTATTGGCTGATTCGTCATGTGAATGAATAGTTCCTGTATTCAATTCTTCTTCACTCTAAATAAAAATTTATGAAAAAAAAAGAATTAAAAAGATTTCTATTACAAATCAATGAATAGTTTTTTTTTCTTATAAGAATTTAAATACTTACGAATGTGAACATGGCGTCCATTTTTAGTTTTGTCTGATAATTAAAATAACAATAAGTTAAGTATTTTTTGAATTATTATTGAATAAAGTTAGTCCCATCAAATATATTCTTCAACTGATGGACGATCTTCTTCCACTCACTCACAACACACACACACTTTCGATAGTCGCCGCTTGCGCGCTCGGGAGAAATAAAGGCTAAAGAGAACAGTATGCATGCTATTTATACTAGCACAACTTGTACCCCCATCGTTCTCTTCCTCTCTCTCTTTCGGTGTCGTTTTTTTTCTCTCCGTTCTTTTTCTTTCTCTTAACCCGGGCGCAATTGCCCACTCTAACGATTTACGCATACACTCCTTGTTCGCATTTGCTATCGCTACATCACAGGACTGTGTGTACGTGTGAGAAGAAAAAAGAAAAGAATTGAGAAATATATATATATATATATATATAAACACGTGCTCGTTTTTTGTTTACCTAAAAGAAATGCGTTGGATGTTCGTTGATCCCTCTACCGATAGGAGACGATAAATAATGATTAATCAGTTGCGATACTATAGTACTACGCAGATAACTATGTGTAGAACAGATGACAACTTTTGTACGCAGAAGGATAATACTATTTCATCATCCAATATGATATCTATTGCGCAGTCTACTAAAGAAGGGGCTAATCGGTTCGCGAATCACATGGTCTTCAAAAAGGTAAATCAACGTAAAGATAACCACGATAAAATTGTAAAAAGCAAACAAGAATGTTTTATGGTTTATCTACAAAAAATAAAAAGAAAAATAATTTAAATAAGAACAAAATCTAAAAGACATTGAATTTGAACTAGATTTATTTTTAGAAGTGTTTTTATTGTTAATACGAGATTTAAATTGAATTTTATATTTCAAGAACAAAAGACAGAATATTCGAGAATGAAAATGTGGTTAAAAAAATCAAAAAAAAGAGGAATTTTTGCTTTTATTTATTATTTCTTTTTTTTCCTCGCCATCGAATGCGTCATTCATTTCTGTATAGATGACGCATTTGGGGTTTGCAATCAATGTATGTATGACGTGGCAGCAACAGCAGATGGTTTCTATTGTTTTTCATTGATAGGCATACTATTCAGTTTATTCATTCGTTATATAAAAATAGAAAAAAGAAATTGAAAAAAAAAGCCCTAGAAGCAAGATGGTTACTTTCTCACATTTGTTGTATGTGTAAAAAGGATTAAGAAAAAAAAAGCGTAGTATGCGGTTGATTCGATAGGATTCAATTAGAAACGATGATGCACTGCTCTGAAGACTAACGCGATCAAAATCAATATATATATATCAAGTGCGTGTGTACGCATACGACACTATTTCATATTTACCTTCAACAAAAGATAGTGAAGGACCAGATAAAAAGACGAAGGGAAAGAGAAAAAAAAGCGAAAAACGAAAGTAACACAGAGAGAGAGCGAGAAAAAGACAAAAAATTAACTTACAATTGTATTAGAAGGATATCGACAAACATCAACATTCGGTGGCATCTTTGATTACAAAAAAATAACAATAGATACATGTAGTTTTTTTTTTTTCGTTTTGTATTTATATGATATCAACCTTGGTTATTGTATGAATGACACGTTGCACAAACGACATTTCATCAGCTTGTTGAGAGGAAAAAAATGTATATGCGTCATTCCTTGAAACAATGTCAAAGAATAACAAAAAAAATGTGTAGGATATTGAATTACAATTTCATGCATGAAGCAAAATTGTGGTTTCCTGAAATATTTTGCAATGATTTCCCTTATTTAATCAAAAAAAGAGAAAAAAACATAAATGTTCATTACATATAATGATTATTCTCAACATCATTATGAATAGTCGTGTTAGAGATGATGACGATGAACGCCCACTTTATTTTCTTGATAAATAAATGTTTGTCGTAATAAACTTTCTTTATACTATCACGAAAAAGTTATTTATAACTCATACAACGCAATTCTGTTTAATGTTATCATCTATAAAACTCTGTTCTTTTTTCTTTTTTTTTATTAAACTTTATCTACCCTGGATAAATCATGATTTATCTTGTATCATATTTTCAATACTTCAATATTTGATAAAATCAAATGACGTCGTTATTCTTTGTATATGTAAGAGTCATTCTGAAAAAAAAATATTGTCAGCTATTTTTAATTCTCATGATTGCAATCAAAATAAATATTCATCATGTCTTTTACGATGATTGATTTTTCCATGGTCAAAAGATGACGAGAAAAAAAAATATATGTGATTCATAAAGTTTAAAAATAACAACGGTATAAAAGCTTTAAGATACACATATGATTCAGTGATTTTTTTTTGCACTGATTATCTTGGTACTATTTTTGTTCTTAAAGTGCTTTCTTAATCGCATTTTATCAATATGTCCTACTGCTAAAATCTGTGTTTTTTTCTTATTAGAAATAAACATAAAATCAATATAGGAGTATTTAATAGTATAGATCTAAGTATTAGAATAAATTGTTTCAATAATTTATGTAAATGAAAAGCTATAGATAAGCGTTTTAGTCTAATCTTAGGATTATGAAAAGAACTTTCATTTTTGTTTTCACATCTCATATAACATACATATGTTTGTATAAGAAAGAATACTTCTTTAGTTACAGATCTTACTATTGAGAACGTTAATAAAAATAGATGATAAAGTAGAGCACTTTGTATTGGATATTTATATATGCATAAGTAGTACTGATTGAGAATGTATAAAAACCTGCAAGTTCAATAGTAAAAACAGTTCATAGTCTTCTTATTTAATAAAATTCGATATTGAACGGCTTATAATATTTTTGATTATTCTTAAAATCATTCAATCAAATGTAAAAGGCTTGGCTGAACAAACATAGTTTTATACAGTATAAATTCAATATGATTATCAAATCAGATAATTACTAAATAAGATCTCATTATCTACGCTTATGTTATCGATTTCACAATCCATGTGTACATATAAGATTAGTCTTCTTTTTTAATAGTGCTTCACACTTTATTATTTTTTTTAAATTCTTCAACTTACACACCCGACATCGTTGGTCGTACAATTGCAAATAAAGGAAAAAAAAAGATTCTGACGATCATAATATGTTCGTCTTACATAGAAATACCCAAGAACGAAAGCGAGACAAAAAAAGAAAAGCATAGTTATAGTAACACAAATAAGAAAGTTTAAGTGACAATGATGAAAAGAAGAAAATCGAACAAGAATCATGCTAAAATCGTCTATGAAACTAATCATTCTCTAACGACCAGTTTTATTTTGAGACGATATTATCATAGAAAAAAAAGAAAGAAAGAAATAGCACAAGAGAGAAAGAGCGAAAAAAGCAGATAGCACCAACAAAAAAAGAAATCGCGAACAAATTTACACACAAATTGTTTTTTTTTGTGATTGATGATTTTTTTTTTGTTTTTTCATCTAATTAATTTCCAAGAGCAAGAAATAAAGGAAAAAAAACGATTTCATATGTGTGCAAAATATAGAAATATATCATATATATATATATTTATATATAAATATATACAAAAAAAAGAAAGGGACCGGTTAAATGAATACTAGGATAAGATTTTTCGATTTATTTAGCACGAGCCGGAAGTGTTGATGATTTTTGTTTTGGTGTTTGACCACCATTATTGCCGAATAGATTGGAAGCTGAAGAACTAATACTCGTATTCGGTGAACGAAATGATGTTGTACTTGTTCTACAAATGAAGAAAAAAACAATTAATTAAGAAAAATATCGTTTCATTTAAATATAATAATGGTACATGTCGAATCGATAAGCAAAAAAAAATGATCATGAGACATACCAATAAAAAGCATACCACACATAGAGCAAGAAATTATTTGGTTAGGGCCTTGAATTTTATAAGAAAAAAATAATAATAATAAAAATAACAATAATAATAATAACAAAGAAAATCACGTATGGATAATTAGAGCTTAATCTTTTGGATATGACTAGTTTTATAGCTAAATAAATATATATGGAATATTTATTATTATGGGAGTTATTGAAAAACAAAGCTTTTTGTTGTTGTTTTTTATGTTTACCAACATAGAAATCACTAAACAAGAGTGATTTTAGAATATGATGACGATGGTTGTGGTATTGATAGTATCCATTTTTTTCTGTTCCTGGAAGATATCCATGAGCATCAAACACGAATTTTATAAAGAAAAGAAAAGTAGGACTAATATAAGAATTACATCGACTTCATTATCATTTCTCTTTCAATTAGATAACCATTGTATTGTTTTACAAACAGTCATTTTCATTGTTATTTAATGTATAGTATTTCGATAGAATAATTCTGATAATTAAAAGTTCAAAGGCATAAATATTCACATTATAGTCTCTATGATCTATGCCATTTTATATTCATTGAACATTTGCTCATTCACCCTATTTATGTATTCACTCTGGCAAATATATACATAGTGCCCATGAATGATTAAATAGACATAATTTATTGATAGATTCAAGTAGTTTCATCTACAATTCATCTACGAAAATGTTTTAAGTTTAACTCGAGAAGACATATCAACTGGTATACATATATTTTTCTAATTCTGAATACCCAGGCCCGTAGCTAAGGGGGGTGCCCGATCATCCCCTTTGGCGAAAAAAACCTTGAAGGAGGGTACGGATGAGGCTTTTATTCACGAAGTAAAACATTAGTTTCCTACCGGTGTGCACCTCCTTAACAAGTCGGGCACCCCTATTGGAAAATTCCTGGCTACGGGCCTGTGAATACCTGAGACAGTTTTTTGCATAAGTCAAAAATACAGTCACACAATTTTATCTAGCACAAATCTCATATACTGACTAATTGTATGAATCAATTTCTATTTGTAATCAAAGCTAAAGCATTCATCCACATTTTAGAATCACAACTAATTCTATTTTTATTCTATCGTCATTTGTATATAACTGATAATAGTTCTATTCTATACAAATATCTACATGTTCTCATAATAATAATAAAAAATGAATTTTTTTGCTATTATAAAATATTTATGAGAGGAAAAAAATTTCATATTGAATCATTTTACAAACCTTGATGAAGATGTCTGATCATGTTGAGAAATAATTCCACGTTTCGGTATTTTTTTACTTAATTTTGCAATCCATTGTTTTTGTTCATTTTCACTTACGCACATAACTAGTAATTCTTTAACTGATAATTTATCATTAACTAAAAATGAATGAACAATATGAAATTTTGTAAATCTTATCTTATATTAATTAATTTACCTCGACATGGTAACATAAATTCTTCTTTATCATCATAATGTTGTTTATGACAACGAACATGACATCTTGTACATTCAAGACATGGAGGTGGAGAAAAAACATTATAACATGGACGATTACATGTTTCACATTGTGTTGGCATGCGATAAGCAACAACAACAAAACTATGACCTTTGTATTCAATTACTTCACCCGTATGACGATCTTGATCCTAAAAACAAAAGAAATAATAAGTAAAAATAGAAGAAAATATTTTACCTGAGATTGAATCATTGAATTTGACATAGTTGTTGTGGAATTATTGAGCAATGTCTGACCTTCACTATCATATAGGACTTGAAATATTTTGGGTATCATATTTGGATCAACACGAAGAACATCACCTTTAAATTAATAACATTTTATTTATTACAATAGACATAACATTTCATATTTCTTACCTTGGGTAACAGCACGAACATGATAAAGTTTCCTAAAAGAAAAAATAAAGCATAAAATATGAATATTCGGATGCTTCTACTCATTGAACCAATGCATATTAGAGCTATAAAAAGATCTCGTAATCACTCTTTTCATTGATATTTAGTGTAGTACGTCAACTTATTGAAATACAGATAAGCAGCTCTAAAAGATCTCGTGCTATTTAAGTATTGATCGTTCTTCTAAATTTCTAGCCTGAAGCAGAATATTTCAGTATAACTTTTAACACTTCGAGATGTTTTTCGTCTTCGAATAGTAATATGACTTACTCAACATCGATTGAAATTGCTGCTAATTGATCTTTTTCGGAATTATATAATAATAGTTTATTTTTTGCAATAACTGCAAATTGACGTTTCCAGCCACCACGTCGAATATTTCGTGTTGGAATTTGTACCCAACTTTCTAAACGATCTCGATCATCATCTAGTTCATCACTAGTTAATGATATATTATCGATTGATCCACGTGTATCAAGTATTCGTTTATATTTTTCAATTTCATCTCGCCGTGTTTCTAATTCACGTTTCATTTTATTAATATCTTCAGATAATGTTGATAATTCCTCATCTTTTTCGTTTTGTAATTTTTTATATTTCATACGTTCCTTAAGAAAATAAAACAAACGAATATAGTCACATGAAATCAAATTTTATTTAAAACTTACGACTTCTAATGCTTGTTCAAGACGACGGGCAACATTACGTTCATTTCGATCTCGATCATGTCGTCGACTACTACCAGTT